TGAGCCACATCCTCAGCCCACAGTCCAGCTCTGGAATACCTGTTTCCCAATTTCTCTGGTGAATAACAACCCCTTGACGTACACTTCTGCCCAGTATTTGCTAGATTGATTGTTGGCAATCAGGATCATGGAAATGAGTGGGACCCAGCTCCTCAGTCCACTAAGACAGAAGATCTGCAAGACCATCAGCACACTAACTCTTGCTTTCCTGCTGAGTCTTTGAAGAGGTCTGTCATGAGGTTGCTTAGCAGTGAGGTGATTATACTAGCCTCTCTCCTGTCATTATAGCAGAATACCCAAGTCTGGACATATTACCTAGAAAAGAGGTTCGTTTAGGGTCAAGGGTATGACACTAACTTGTGCTTGGCTTTGTTGAGGGCCTCATGGTGGATGGCATGACAATGGCAGGAACATAAGGGAGTAAGAAATTGCATGGTGAGACAGGAAGCTAGAGAGCAGCTGGGAACTAACTGGGGTCTGATGAGAAGTACAAGAACTACATTAATCCCTTCCAAGGGCTTAAGGACTCCCTGCAGGCCCTGTCTCTTTAAGGTCCCACCATCACACTGAGGACCAACCGTCCAACACATGGGCCCTTGGACAAATCACATCCAGGCCACCGTAGTAATCAAAGATGGAAGTCGGGATATGACCACCTCAGAGAAGGCCATGCAGAGGACTCATGCATGGGGCGGGGCAGTGATGGGGACCAATGAGGAGGAGTGCCCTGGGCATTGTCTGGACAGGATGATGAAGGTTCTGGGATCTCCCACAGTACCCTTTTTAAAAGTATGAATCTTTTCTTCTCAGCATAGAGGCAATGTGTTATAGTGCAGACACCCTGGAAAATGCAAAAGTAAGATTCGTAAGGTTCATGAGGTTCTTTCTCCACTCTCCTTCCCACGGAGGACATATATGGGCACGGCAGATGATTCTGGTCTTCTTCCCTTCTTTTTAAAGACAATGAGATCAGGGAGCACAAAGGGTTTTCATAACCCACCATGTGGTTCCATGTCCTTAAAATCTCCAGACATAAACATTTAAAATATATATTAATTTTATAGATAAAGATAGGATTTAATTTCATTTGATCTGCATGACCTTCATTTCTAGTGAAATTGAACATTTGCTCGTAGGTTTATCAATCGTTTGTATTTCTGGTTTTACGAATTCTTTGGATGTTGCTTGTCTATTTTTTCCACTGGGTTATCAGTCCTTTTCTTATTCACTTAAAAAGTAGTTATCTATTAAGAATCCAAACACTTTTTTCACATATCTTGCAAATATTTACCCCAAGTTTATTGTCTTTGAATTTCATTTGGCTTTTTTCTCCATATACAAGATTCAAAATTCTATCTAGTTAGATTATATCAATCTCTTCCTTCATGCCATTTACTGCTGACAGTTTGGTATGTAGTTTTCCAGACATTTGCTATGCATATGCAAATATATCTATAAATATATATATATATAGAAGGAGATAGTTATATATGTAAAGTTTCCCTGCACATTTGAGATGTCATATCCACTCTTCTGCAACTTGCTTATTTCATGCACTAGCATATTACATACATTTCCCCTTATTAATATATAAAGATTTAATTCCAACAGTATTCCCTTGAATGATTTCAATATTATGTTCTTTAAGCCAGTTTTTAAACATTGTTTTTCATGTACACACTTAAATATGGAAGTTTTCTGGGGTTTCAAAGAAACAGAAACCTAAGTTTATTTATTCCGTGTAGTGAGTCAATAGTCCCAATGGCATTTATAAAACAGTCTGTCCTTTCCCTCTGACTTAAAATAACTTTGTCTTATATTAAATATCATATATAAAATGGTAACTATCATATATTAAATATATATACTGAAATTTTGAGTTTTTCTCTATTTTTCTTTCTTCTTTTATTTATTCCTCAATCAATGCCACATTTTTCTAATTATTATAGCTTTAAAATATATTTTAATACCTATAAAATCAATTCCATTCCCTGTCTCATCTTCTTCAATATTACCTTTTTCAATATTACTAATTTTTCCTTTTGTTTGCTTATTTTATTTTGCATTTAATTATGGGCTTTGTAATCATTTTAAATTCCCAAAATATCTAACTTGGGATTTAGATTGCGAATGTGTTTAATTAATAAAGTTTTATTGACACTTTTATCAAACATTTCAGTTTAAAAGCAGAGTGTGTATCTCTCCATCTACTCAATTTTTCTTCTTATGTGCACTAGTAACATTTTGTTTTCTTTATATCATGCTTATTTTGAGATTTTTTTTGCATTTTTTATTATAAAATTACATTGAAAGTGGGATTTTTAATGTATGTCTTATGACTTATTAAGATAGAGGAAGCATTGGTTTTTGTGCACATTTGGTAACAGCTTACTTTACTGAATATTATTCTAGTTGTTTTCAGTTTTTTCATGAATTCCTTATATTGACAACCATGTAATTTGCAAAAACAAAATTGGGGAAAAGGAAGGAGAGATGGTTTGATTCCTTCTTCTACTGTATTTATACTCTTTTTCTTTTTATTGTTTATTGTTTGAGCCAAAACAAATTCTGGGTTGAATCAAAGATACAGTTTTCTCCTTCAGGGAGTCCACAGAGATCAGACACACATTCTAATATTTTCTTCTCCTTCTCTTTCTCTTCCAAGTTGTTAGAAATTTTCTCAGGTTTGTCTTCACATTCTCTGATTTAACTTACTATGGCATCTAATATGTGGTTCCTTGTCCTTTGGGATTTTAACATTCAACGATCGGCATTTGCATCCCTGGACTCTGGAAAGCTGCCAGTGAGCCCAGTGGTCACAGCCAAGGTTCTTTCTGGGTCATCACCCCCAACTGTCATGGTGGCTATATTGACACCACCTCCTCCCCCCCATCCTTGAACCCAGGACTCCAGGCTCCCCTGGGTTCCCTCTGGACTCTCTTCCCCTTCCCACCCCTTCACTTCTCCCTCCACAAGTTCTCTCTGAAGGATGCTGTCCATCCCCAGGTCCAGTGCCTGTTTGCCAAGTCTAGAGAGAGCTCCAACCTCATCACTCCACTGAGAGGACACCGGCCTGTGCGTTCCAACAGCAAACCCACAGGCTCGGCTTCTCCAGCTTTCTACTCCTGGTGTCCAGATGCCCTAGGTCCCAGCTGTTCCCCAGATGTCCCCTAGGCGTCCCCATGCCTTTGCACATGCTACTCCCTTTGCGGACAGAGGGCTTATCCTGACCTTTACCTGCTCATCCTTCAAGACCAAGCTCAGAGACAACCCTGTGCAGCCCTCTGGATTCCTGAGGTCCAGAGGTCCGGGCTCCCTCCCTGCGGTTCCCTCTGCACTTGGGGCACCTAGAACAAGGTGGAGAAGTTGCGTATGTGTCCATCCAGGTCAAAAGGAGGGCCAGCAATCCCTGGTCATCCATCGCCTTGCCCTCTCCTCCCCCTACTCCCCCCACTCACAAGTCTAAGCCCCCACCCAGGTTCAATCCCACCCACACTGTGCATGCTGCACCTGACCAGACACACGGCACACAACCCTGCCGAGCCGGACTGCCCAGGGGCCCAGCTCCATGCCTGTAGTGTATTCCTTCTCTCACTTTCTGAAACGACTACTTAGTGCTTCTTCTCTGTCCCTCAGTGTCCTACAACCCTTTCCCTGACGCCCTTGCCTCTAATTCATTGAAAACTAGAAGCAATCGAGAGACAAACGTCCTCGCCCCTGGCCACACCTTCCAACTCTGTTGCCTCAGAACCGTGCTCCCTGCTCCTCCCAGAGACCAGGCCCTGCCCTTTGCTCTGTTCCTGTCCCCTCCCACCTTCCTCTGGCCATGGCCTGGCGACAGCTGTCTTCTTCCTGTCTGCCATGGGCACCTGCTCTCCTGCAGATCATTTCCTTGGGCTTACACACATTCTGACTACCATCCGCCGCCGTAAAGAAGCCTCCTGGCTCTTCCTTCCTCTCCAGGCACAGCCCTCCCGCGTCCCACCATCCCACACCCAAGTTCCCTCTCCCGGCTCGCCTCGGCCTCCTGCGAGCCTCAGTCCTTCCTCCTCCTCGAAGCTTCTCTTGCCAACATAACGGTGATCTCCACGCTATCACATCCGCGCCCTCCTCCTGCTCTACGTCTCAGCCCCCTTCAGCCGGGCTGGCCCCTTTCTCCTTCTAGAAACACCTTCCATGTGGGCTCCCATGACACCTGCCCTCCAGGTGCCCACACGTCTAAAAAGGAAAATCAAGGTCCAGCGTTGCCCTTCCCAGAACCCTCCTGGGGTTCTGCTGTACTTCCAGTCGACTCCCACTCTGACCCCAGCCCCAAACCTGCTGGGCCTTGGCCCTGGCACCCGCCACCCCACCCTGTCGTCCTCTACCGCTGGCTGCAGTGACCTTCTTCCAGTTCCCACCCGAATACCTGGAGCAGCTCCTGCCTCTTCCCGGAGGCCCGTTTCCACTTGTCCCACCCAATTTCACCTTCATCTCAGCTGGACACCTTCTCACCTGTTTATTTTCATTATCTGCGTCTTAGAATAAAAGCTCCCTGGAAGCGTGGAGCGTACCATCCGCTCTCCCCTGGTCTCCTGGCACCTGGAGTAGTGTCTGTCGGGGACAGAGAGGGTGTGCGGCTGAAGTGGGTTGGAGGGTGGAATGAAGGGGTCTGCTGACTTGCTCCAACTGAACCCGAAGCTCCTGGAGGGTGGGTGCCCTGCTTTAGGTTCCGCTGTTTCCTGCAAGATGCTGGGGACCTCCTTATAAATAGGCCTCCTTGGACTTATTTCTTCATCAAGGGAAAGCCAACAGGCTCCGGGGCCTACTTCATAACCTGCATTTCTCTGAGAATAAACACAATGAGGGGGATGTCATGAGATCAAGGACCAAGTGGGGAGGAGGGCTAAGGGCTGGCCAGCCCTCGTCAGCTGGAATGGGGGTAAGGGAGCTCCCCCCGCCCCAGGATTCTCAACAACCTGGCCCTGGTGCTACGTCACCTTCTGGTGTGTGTGTTACAGGGTGCAACCTACACCTTGATGATGGTGGATCCCGACGCTCCCAGCAGGTCAGAGCCCACCAAGAAATACTGGAGACATTGGCTGGTGACAGATATCAAGGTAAGCAGGCCAAGGGGCACTTTGGGACCTGTTTGGAAGACTGTCATTCTGTGCAGACTCTCCTTTAGAGGGGGACGAGGTCAAGCAAGGAGGGTCATGTCAGATGGCCCCCAGCACTCAGCTGTCAGCTTCTCCCAAGTTCACAGGGATTTAAAAAGAAGTCCAAGGACTAGCGATGGCTGCACCAGGACACTGAGTTCTCTGCCCAGAGCAGGAGAAAGCCCCGATATCTAGAGTTGGTTGATCTTTGTGGCCTGGGTAGTCCCATCACAGGCAAGTTCAAGTCACCAGTGATTTAAGAACCAACTCCCAAAACGTCTGAGAACACGATGGTTGGCGCCAGCACATCAGTGGATCTGGGGGCCCTGGTGCGATTCCTGCTGGGCAAGGGGCGTGGAGAAGCAGGGTGACTGCCCTTTCTTGTGCAGAAACAAACAACACCTTCCCACCTGACGGTGAAGGAGCCTGGCAGGTCTTTCCAGGGCAGGTCTCAGGGACACAGAGTTGGTGGGCTTTTGAGGGGCTTCTGGGGAGGGGGAGGCTCCATTGCCAGGCAAGCCTTTGATACTCTGGGTTAAATGGAATGAACCCCATTCCTCACCCGATGGCCTTCTAGAATTTCTATTGTCCTCATATACACAACAGTCATCCCTTGGTGCCCTCGGGGGTTGGGGTAGCAGGACCCCCCCCCACCATAGGTACCCAAATCTACAGGTGCTCAAGTCCTGGATATAAAATGGTGTAGGATTTGCATCGAGCCTATGCAATCCTCCAATAGACTTTAAATAATTTCTACATGATTTGTAATACCTGATACAACCTATATGCTATGCCAATAGCTGTTTACAGTATTGTTTAAGGAATAATGACAAGAAAACAGTCTATGTGTTTGGATTCAATTACGTGTGTGTGTGTGTGTGTGTGTGTGTGTGTATGCAGATAGTGATCAATACAGATAGATACATTTTCAATTCTCAGTTGGTTGAATCTGAGGAAAAGGAACCCACAGGTACAGAGGACCAGCTGTGTATCATATGCATTTATTTCTCAACCTCATGAAATTAGAAAATCCTTTGTTCACAAGCGCCTGGCCATGTCATGTGGGGCATTCCACACTCGCCTATGGTGTTCACAAATCTATGCCTGGGAATCCTGCGGGTGGCTTTTGAGAAGAGTATGTGATGTCCTCAGACCCTGTAAGGTCGTGGGAGCCCAGAGCTAGGAAGCCTGAGTTTGGATCCAGTTTGGTCTCGGCTGACTACCAGCTCTGTGACCTTGGGAGCCCGTCTGGCGTTCCTGGCTTTGTCTATGATGCTGGAGTCATGGTATTGATTCCACGGGGTCACTGTGGTGATGGTGAGATGGCCCCCTGAGAGCACCCTGGAAAATGCAGAGAAACCCACAGACCACAAGGGCTTGTGTTTTCCTGCCGCAGCTATGGACAGGGGAAGGGGCATCCGTGTAACTAAGTATTGACTCCTGAGCAAGTCACCAGAGTGAGGACCAGGAGTGGGCAGTTAGCCTGGCCACCAACCCCAGCCCCGCAACCAGGCCCCTTCCTAGGAAGCTCAGGGGGCAGCCCTCCTTGGGGGCAGACTGACTGCTGCCCAAAGGGCTCCCTCAAGGACCCCCCAGTAGCAGCTTCTTGGGCAGGGCCCAGCTGCCTCCCAAGGCCCTTCCCTGGCCAGGTGTTCCTCTCTGGAAACACTGCAGGGGGGCAGCTGGGGTAGGGCCACGCCTCGGGCATGGTGGGGAGCAGAGGACTCAAAAGGGGAAGCTCTCCCCATCTAGAGCGCTGCTGTTTTCTGGATGCTGGTGACGTTGGCAAAGGGTGGTGGCTCAAGAGCAGCACCTGCCCCAAAGGTCAAGTTCACTGCCTGCACACTCAGGCGCACAGGGCTTCCTGCAAGAGGGTTCCACTCCGTGATTCTGAAGCTAGAGAGCAGACGCAGCCTCAGATGGGATGGTTTCGGAGCCGAGGGGCCATGGGACCGTGACGCGGCCTCTCTTCAAAGCCCTCAGCCCCCCCCCACACACCCTGCCACTCCCTTCACCCCAGTTCTCACTCGGGACACATTTCCCACAGGAGCCTGTGCCACAGATGTGCTTAGCCCCAGCAGCTCAGTTTAGAGGCAAAGCAGGTGGCAGGTGACAGGTGGCAGCTGTCAGGCAAGACTGCTAAGCCGCAGAGCTTAACCAGGGCCACCTGCCCGGGTGCAGCCCTCGACTTCCCGACCGGCCAGCTGGAGGAGGCTCTGGTTTCAGTCACCTTTTCACCCACTGTCCCCCGTCTGGTGCCCAGCAGGAAGCAGCAGTCCTCCCGGCTGTGTCCACTTGGCCCTGCCCACCTGCCCCCGAATTCCGCCAGCCACAAAGACACTATAAGCCAAACCCGCTGAGGTCCTGGACCTGGGCCACAGGCAGCCAGGGAGCACTGGCTGGGACCAAATCTGACCAAATCTGGGAGCACTGCCTCTGCGCTGGTGCTCTCCACGGCCCAGCGGGTCTTGATTGCATGCACTCAATGTGCCGGCAGCTGGTCACCTGCAGCTTCCCGGGCCCTTTGGCACCAACACAGCCTCCAGGGTGAACGAGCAGCGTGGAGGAAGGCGAGGCATGGGTGCTGGGAGGCTGAGGCTGTGGGCAACAGGGCCTGTGGTGGACCCATCCTCCAGTGAAAAGCACGCATGAAGCTTGCCAGGTCTCCACCACCATGTAGAGTAGCAC